CTACTTTACAGACAAAATGAGGACCAAATGAAGATATATGTAGAAAAGTTTTGCAAAGTTCAAAATATAGTATGACATTAGTTATTTTTTTCCTCAGTATATTCCTTGGAAAACAACTGGCCTGTCTTCCGGATTTTTCCATTTTGGAGCTTGAGACCTAAAGTGGTTAAGAGATTGGCCCCTGATCTCAGGTATGTAGGAGATAAGCAGGTATCACAACCCTCCACTCACTCAGTGTTTAGGGGAACATGCAGAACCCCAAAAGATGCACAAGAAATGATCCTCTTGTGCCGTGGACTCTGAATTTCAGCATGAAAGTTATGACCCCCTCTTATGAAGGTCCGGTCTTTTTTGACCTCAAGTGAGTGTAGATTGTAAGAAACCACCAAGCCTGAATGACAGTGTAGCCCAGGTGGGATGGGGTTTCATGCTTTCTTGCCTAAACTCAATGAAAGTAGTGACAGGCCTTTCAGAAAACAGCTACTCCCTGTGATAACAGCAGTGGCTATATGATCTCTCCCCACCAACACCACCACCATTCAGCAGTGACTGTACATCTATATCTCCACACATTGATCACCAAAGGACTTCACAGCACTGGGACAATAATCAGGGATCATCAAGTAGCATTCTCTTTCCTTGTCATTAGAAGGGATCTGACTGTCTGTGGATGAAAAGAAGCTTCTTTTGCAGGACAACCCATGCCTGAGCCTTAAAGCCCACTTTAAGTGCTAATTGCGGGTATTCAGTGCCCCCACAAAGACAGGCATCCTTGACAAACTAGGTCAAGTCACTGGCAAATGTTGCCTTGAAACTCAACTTGTATAAGATAAGTCAATCAAAGAATTCAGAAATCTTAAAAATTGCAGTCCTGATTTCATACTTTGGCTATTGTGAATAATGCTGCACCAAACAAGGGAGTGCAGGTATCTCTTTAGAGTGTTGATTTCATTTCCTTTGGATATACACCCAGAGGTGGAATAGCTAGATCATATGTTCATTCTAATTTTAGTTTCTTGAGAAACCCTCCTCCACACTGCTTTCCATAATGGCTGTAGTAATTTACATTTACTCCGACATGTTTAAGAGTTCCTCTTTCTCTGCATCCTCTCTAAAGTTTATTTGTTTTTTTTAAACAGTCATTCTAACTAAAGTGAGATAATATCTCATTATGGCTTTGATTTGCATTTCCCTGATGATTAGTGATATTGAACATTTTTTCATATTTGAAAAAATCTGAATATCTTATGTTGAATATCTTATGTTGAGAAATGTCTATTCAGATCCTCTGACCACTTTTAAAATCAGATTTAAAAAAAAACATTTTGGAGTTCCCTACATGTCTTGCATATCAACCCCTTGTCAGATAGTTTGCAAACATTTTCTCCCAGTCTACAGGTTATCTCTTAGCTCTGTTGATTGTTTCCTTTGGTGTGCAGAATCTTCTTACTTTGTTATAGTTCTATTTGCCTGTTTTTAAATTTTGTTGCCTATGTTTTAGGGTTTTATCCTCCCCAAAAGCATCATAGCCTATACCAATGTCTTGAAGTGTTTCCCCTATATTTTCTTTAGTAGTTGCATAGTCTACATTTAGGTGTTTGATCCATTTTGAATTGATTTTTGTATATGGTTTATTCCTCTGCATATGGATATCTAGTTTTTCCAACACCATTTATTGAAAAGATTGTCCTTTTTTCCAATCAACTCATTTACTGATGGAGATTTTCTGATCTTCATCTGTAGATGAATGGATAAATAATGATACATACACAATATGGCATTATTCACTCATAAAAGGATAATTAAATCCTATCATTTGCAGCAACATGGATGATGGTGCTGGGGACATTATGTGATGTGAAATAAGCCAAGCACAGGAAGGCAAGGATTGCGTCTTTTCAGTCATGTGTGGAAATTTTTAAAAGTTGATCTCATAGAAGAAAAGAGTAGAATAGTGACTATGGGAGGCAAAGGAGGGTTGGTGGAATAGAGACAAGTTGGATACTGGGTCCCAAAACACAGATAGGACAGAAAAGTTCTAGTGTTGTACAGCAGAATAGGGTGACTATAGTTTATGAGGACCTCTTTTATATTTTGCAAAGAATAGAATGGAGATGCTTGTGAGCTTCCAAAACAAAGTGTGGTAAGTGTTTAAGGAGACAGAAATGCTAAGTACCCTTATTTGATAATGTGTATACATGTATCTAATTATCACCCTATGCCCTGTAAATGTATATGATTATTATATGTTAACTAAAAGTAAGTTTTTAAAATGACAGTGTGGCAGCTGTGACACAGCACCATCTACAGAGGGTGGCCATCCCAGCCAGCCTTCTCCAAATACTCTCTCCCAACATTCTAGCATTCTCTTTCCTGGTCATTAGAAGGAATTTGACTGTCTGTGGATGAAAAGAAGCTTCTTTTGCAGGCCAACCCATGCCTGAGCGGAGTACACCTACTGTCCTTGACCTTAAATGGTATAAATTAAACCACATATGAATCCCATGTTTTGTATATTTTTTCCAGCAAAGAAATAGGAAAGCAATAAAGAAAGAAAGGTCTGGGAAAAACATATGTGTGTGTACAAACATATGTATACACATACATACACACTTAAGAGCAGAAGTCTTTATTCAAATACAGTTTTAAATGGAAGAGTGATAAATAAGACAGAACTGCTTAGGAAACACAGGGATGGGGCTCAGGGACTGCTTACCCTTCTTCATTTTTTGATGACTTCTTAGACACCTTTTGCACAACTCCAAGGATAGAAACTCACAACTACAGAAACTCACATGTCCTATCCTTATACAGATAAGGATAGAAACCACAGAATTCTGGGTTCTTTTGCTAGGGTTTGGGGTTTATTTCCAGTTATGGAGCCAAGGACATGGCTCATTTAGTCCCACGGTCCTCAGTGACTTCGGAGGAGCTCCCATGTTTCATTTTCATGTTCCTGTGGAAATAGAAAGCCAGTTCTAACCCAGCGTCATCCCTTCCCTATTTGAAAGGCTGGGAGTTGTGGCTTCCTGCAGAAGGAATAATGGGGAAATCTTTCTCCCAGATGATGGTGGTTTGCTGACCACAAAACCCCTGAGGCTTTGTGACCTGATACCAGGCTGTGGCCTTGTAGGAAGTACACCGTGAGGATCAGGGTTCATGGGGCCATTAAAGGATGTGATACACTACTGTTATGGTGTGTATATGAGGTGTAGCCCAAAAGCTCCTATTAATTCAGGAATATTCAAAGGTGAAGTGATTGGATTGTGAGAGCTTACCCTAATTAGTCCATCCTGGTTTGAATAATGGGGTCGTAACTGCGGGCAGAGCATAGCTGGAGGAGGGTCACTCAAGATGTGCCGTGAAAGGCTGGTTTTCCCTGCAGCCCCTTCCTCCTCTCTCTTTCTCTCCCCTTCTCTCTCCCCCTCTTTCCTTGCTGCTATGAGGGGAGCAGCTTCCTTCCTCCTCTGCATCCTTACCCCATGATGTGCTGCCTAGCAACCCTGAGCCCTGAGGAATGCAACTGCCCATCTATGAACTAGGACCTCTGAAACTGTGAGCCCCAAATAAGTGTTTCCTCCTCTGAGTTTTCCTTGTCAGATATTTCAGTCACAGCCATGCAAAAGCTGTCTAAAACAACTACACGTTTTCCTTCCAAGTGTCTCAAAAAGGTGATCCTAGAGGCAGTTTTGGTCTAATCAAAAGGACCTCCTTGTGTGTCCCTGAGCTGAGAGCCAGTAACGTTCGCTTTCACTCTAAGATAATCTCAACAGTACTCTCCCCCCCGTTTCCAAGAGGTACAAGAAGAGGATGTAAAGCCAGAGTATGTTTTCAGCAGTACCATAGGTGCTGCTTCCCAGCGAGGGTTTTGACTAACTTCCATGAAGGCTGAACATAATCTCTTTGTGTGATTCAAAAGAAGAGAGAAGTTTAGTTGAGGGATAATCCTGTCCTCCGCAGCAGGGGAACCTAACTTGCAGAAACCAGACGAGGGGGCAGACAGCCACCAACTGCAACGCTGACCTCGGCTTTTCTACTCTGAAGTCAGTTCAGCTCTCTGGAATTCAAGATCTAAGAACGAACTCCTGCCACCCACCTTCTGTCTTTCTGAAAACAATCAGCAGGAAGTGAGCACAGAGAGCCTGGCAGAAGCCCAGCAAGAGGAGATGGCACTCAGTAAACAAGAAGCCCTAACTTCCAATTGAGTTTGCCACTGTCGTGACAGGAGATGGTGCTGCCACGATCCATTTTCTCATCTGTCATTTCTTTATTTTCCCACTTCGAAGTCCTAGAGCGGAAAGGATTAGATGATACTTTTCCTCGGCCAAATTTACTCCAGAAAAAAAAGGGACTATAGCTCTACCTTCTTTATTTAAAATTAGATATTTTATAAATTTTTTTAAAAAGATTTTTTTTCTCTTTTTAAAATTTATTTTAGTTAGGTCTATATGACAGAAAATGCATTTTGATTTATTGTACACCATTGCAGCACAACTTTGCATTTCTCTGGTTGTACAAGATGTAGCGTCACACCCTAAGTGCAGTCTTGCATATATGTACCTGGGGTAATGATGCAAATTTATTTTTTAGAGAAGTTTTAGGTTCACAGCAAAATTGAACAGAAAGTACAGAGTTCCCACATATCCCCTTCTCCTACACACACACATAGCCTTCCCATTATCAAGATCCCACACCTGAGTGAGGCAATTGCTATGACCAGTGAACCTGCAGTCATATAAATTTATCAGCCAATGTTCAAGTAGGGTTTACCCTTATTATTGTATATTCTGTAGACTTGGAAAAAATGTATAATGACACATGTTCACCCTCATTATATCTTATAGAGTAGTTTCACTGCCCTAAAATTTCTCTGTGCTCTGCTTATTCATCCCTCTGCCCACTAACGCATGGTAAAGATTGTTTTATGGTCTCCACAGTTTTTCCTTTTCTAGAATGTCATATATTTGGACTCATAGAGTATGGAACCGTTTCAGCTTGACTGCTTTTGCTTAGTGATTTGTTTTTAAGGGTTTTTTCTGTGTTGTTTTTTTTTTCATGGCTTGGTAATTCATTTCTTTTTAGCTCTAAATAATATTCCATTGTCTGGATAACCACAGTTTATCCATTCACCTACTGAAGGACATCTTGTTTGCTTTCGAGATTTGACAACTATGAATAATGTATAAATATTTGTGTACATTTTTAATAGACATGTTTTTAGCTAACTTGGATAAATACCAAACAGCATGTTTGCTAAATAATATTGTAAAAGTGTGTTTGGTTTTGTGAGAAACTGCAAGACTACCTTTCAAAGTGGATGTACTCTCTTACATTCTCATCGGCAGTGAATTAGAATTCCTGTTGTTCTGCTTCCTCACCAGCATTTACTACTGTAGGTGTTTTGGATTCGGGCCATTCTAATGGGTACATAGTAGTCATCTTATTATTTTCAATTTTGAATCCCAAAAGTACTTTTATATTTGTAATTTTATACTAGTTAATTAATATTGGACTTCCTCCAAGATTGTGAGTTCAATGAAAACAAGGAATTCCTCTGTTCTTGCCTATCATTTTATAATTTATGTCCATCCAGCACAGTGTCTTGGACAGAGCAGCCTTCATATATTTGAGTGAATGGAGCACCTTACCAGTTCATTTTGAGTATAAACTTTTGTAAAAAAGAAAAATAAAGAAAAGAAAGCTAAGACTACTGAAGATGATGAAGCAGAGTCCGATCTGCTTAGACCATTCATCCAAATACTGTCGGAACTCAGCAGTGTCCACAGCCATCCTCAGAGGTATCCGGTCATTTGATATAGCTCTGCATCATCCTTTCTGCATCATCTGAGTGAACCGGATTTCTTTCTCAAACACTTCTTCAGAGCTTCATGGATGTCTCTATTCCTCAGGCTGTAGATGATGGGGTTGGACATAGGTGTCAGGATGGTGTAAAGCAGAGAGAACCCTTTGCGCAAGAGTTGGGAAGAGTTGGCTGAGGGTACGAGGTAAGTGGCAATCAGTGTCCCATAAAACACCATGACCACAATGATGTGGGAAGAGCAGGTAGAGAAGGCCTTCCTCCGGCCTATGCCCGATGGGATTCTTAGGATAGAGACAAGGATGCAGGAGTAGGAGGCTGTGATGAGGAGAAATGGGACCAGAGTCACTGCAGAAGAGGTGGCAAAGGCAACGGTCTCAGTCAGTGAGGCATCCATGCAGGAAAGATGGACCAGAGGGGTGAAGTCACAAAAGAAGTGATCAATTTCATTAGGTCCACAGAAGGTTAGTCTACACAGCAGGACCATGGTGATTGATGTGAGAAGGAAGCAGGAGAGCCAAGAACCAGCAGCCAACCTGATGCAGATGGGGCCAGTCATGAGGAGGGGGTAGCGGAGAGGTTGGCAGATGGCCAGGTAGCGGTCACAGGACATCACAGCAAGCAAGAGGCACTCGGTTGCAGCCAAAGATCCAAAGAAGTAGAACTGTGCCAGGCAGCCAGCCACAGAGATGGTCTTCTGTTCGGCTATGATAATCAGCAACATCTTGGGGACGATGTTGGAGGTGTACCAGATCTCCAGAAAGGACAAGTTCACCAGGAAGAAGTACATGGGGGTGTGGAGGGGGTGGTTGAACAAAACTAGAAGGACAATGAGGATGTTTCCAGAAATAGTTAAGATGTAGAAAACTAAAAACATCACAAAGAGGGAAATATTTAGGTGTAGGATGGAAGAGAATCCTCGAAGCACAAATTCTACTATCACTGTCTGGTTTTCCCAAGATGGGATCACCATACCTCGGCCTCCCTAGGAGCAAAACATGGAAGGTTCTTTCTTAGCTTACACAGAGAACATGGAAAAAGTATGAGACTCTGTGATGGTCCAGCATCCAGAAAGGGAGGAAGATCTAAATGGAGGTGAGACAGAGAGAAAGATGAGGAGCATATCCAGAGGGTTTGCCAACTCTCTAAGAGAGAATCTAGAGAGTCAAAGACCCAAGGCACAATTGACCTTTAGGGAAAATCAATGCTTGTCAAATCAATTTAATTTTCCTCTCCTTTAAGCCTCTTAATGGGTTGGGAGGGAAGTTTCTTACTTCTGTCTTGGTTTCCATGGCACTATCAAAAGAAAGTCCTGCTAGTGTGAGGCTTGAGACTCTCTTGATGCTAAGGTCAGTGTAGATACAGGTGTGACCCAGGGCAGAAATGCTTTCTCTCATCTTTCACTTGCTTCTTTTTTGTGGTGCTGGAGATTGAACCCAGGGCCACTCTACCACTGAGTTACATCGGCAACACCACTCCCTATTTTTTATTTTGAGACAGGGTCTTGCTAGGTTGCCCAGCCCCCTTGAACTTGTGATCCTCCTGCTGGGTCTCCTCAGAGGCTGGAATTACAAGCCTGGATCTCACAGTTTTAAACAGACAAAATCAGCCTCATTAAAAAGACTTTAAGGCTGCAGCAAGTGGGAAACAAAGATTCAGAACCAGGTGGCCTAAAGCAGTATTTGCACTCAACCATGATAGCCTTGGATTCTTTTTGAATGAGTTAAGAAAGACCAGTTCTCCTCTTCAGTCTCATCTTGGTGAATGCTCAGGGAAGATAAGAGAATTTGCCTCCAAAATACTGCTGTAGCCACAGGTAGGGTCTGTGGCTGATCCCACTTTATTATTCTTAACCTCCTAGGACTATATTGGCACCTCCTTATGGAGAGACAAGATGGCTGAGAGAAATAAGGTGAGATGAGAAAACCTAAATATAGGCACAAAAAGCCATGCATGAGTGTAACAAAGGAGTATTTACCATGAGTAGTCAGAGAGGCCTAAACAAATCCAGGGATTCTGCTTTATGAGTCAGACTTTGAACCCATTACTTTACCTTCTTTGAGGCAAAGCTTGTCATCTGTAAAATGGGATGCAGGTTTGGATAAGAACATACAAATGTGCCTAACATCTGCAAAAATTATATAAATGAAGAGTTTGGGATGTCACTGAGTATTCAGGGCTGTAGACATTACTTAATTTACCATGGAATGCCCTTACTTTGAAGGAAACATTAGTACCAAATATCAATATCCTTTGCCCATGGAATTGTGTGAGTATTTAAGCTGTCCCTGACATCTTTTATCACACTGACAGCATTTTGACAATACACTGATCCCATTTTAAAACTGATCCAGGCTGGGCATGCCTATGATCCCAGAGACTCAGGAGGCTGAGGGAGGAGGATTGAGAGTTCAAAGCCAGCCTCAGCAAATTAGCGAGGCTCTAAGCAACTTAACAAGAATTTGTCTCCAAATAAGAATATAAAAACAGGCTGGGAATATGGCACTGATCAAGTGTCCTAGGGACCATGCTGTGGAGTACTAGTTCCAGCTTTCTAAGTGATTTATAGAACTAGTCTAGAATTTGTCCTACTGGCAGTCCAGGTGCCCAGCGGATACCCAGCAACAGTGATTCCAACCCTGACTCATTGAGGGGTGCACGGAGAAGGTGCAAAGTGAAGACTTCTCTCTACTCCCTGAGAAGCACAAATAATGATCAGAGAACTCAGAGAGAGGGCTCCAGTTATGACAGTTCAGCCAGACGCTTCAATGCTGCTGCTGCTGCTGCTGCTGCTGTTAATAAAGATGCAATGATTACCCTTTCATAGTACTGTTCTAAGTTCCAAAAACACAGATCGTTATGTGGTGAGAACTCTTGTAATCCTCACTTTATAGATGCAGGCACACTTTACATGGAGGCACAGAGACCTTAAATGCTCATCAGCTAGAAAATAACAGAGATGAGATTTAGATTCACTGTGGATCTCATGCATCTCCTGGGGCCTGGCTGCAAAGACTAGTTTGCATCATCTCACAGAAGTGGGAAGAAAAAATTTCATCCCAATCTTATCTGCTACTTTTATATTCTTTACCGTCTTTTTTTTTCGGTATTGGGGTGCTTTACCACTGAGTCATATCCTATCCTATTTATTTATTTATCTATTTGTCTATTTATTTATTTGTTTGTTTGTTTTTTTGAGGCAGGGTCTTTCTAAGTTGCTGAGGCTGGCCTTGAATTTATAATCCTTCTGCCTCGGCTTCTCAAATTGCTGGGATTACAGGCGTGCAACACCATGTCCAGCTTCCTTCCTGACATTCTTTGAAATCAAGTTAATCTATCATGTTAGACATTATAAAAACTCTTTTGGGGAATGTGCACAGGGAATTGGTCCTTCCTCTTTACTAGGCAATTTCACTGCTGCTGAAGTCTTCGTCACCCCTTGGATGCAGCACAGAGAGCCACTACAGAGGAAGGAAAGTCAGGTACAAAGTAGGAGAGACTTGAATGGAAAGACAGTGAAGCCTAATGAAGAGCACCGTTTCTTAAGCTAAACAGGCTGGATTCAAATCCCTACTCAACCACAGAGAAGCCTGGGCAAGAGCAAGCTTGCCAACCTTTAAAGGAAGAGATACTGTGTTCTCTCTGGGTCTAGGTAGACATGGCTCTCACTGGCAACAGAGAGGTCCGTGATTCTGACCTCCCTGCCTCAGCAAACAGCCACTATCTTTCCCTATCTCTTTATAGATGTGAAGAAATCATAAAAGGGTATCATCGAAAAGCTAGAGGATGGCTTCTGCCAACCATCTCCTATGTTAACTGTGTTCACATAATGCTGCTTCACTCAAGAGCTGCAAACCCAGCAGATTACACAATATGTCTGTGAATCATGTTGGCCCAGGGTGTGGAGAACAGAGAAAGTGCTCAGGGTGTGGTGGTGCTTTTTCCTTCCTTTACTCTCCTCATTTTTCTCTCCCTCTCCTCTCTTCTTCTTCTCTTTCTCCTTCACTCCTTCCTTCCCTCCCAATTTTGCACAGTACAGTTAGTGCTGTCAACAGGTAGATAGGTTGTCTTGAGAAGGCAGCTGCTCCCCTTCGCTGGAGATGTTCAACAAGGACAGTGTGTGAAGATAATTAGAGGAGACCAACCAAAGCACTGTGGGATTATTTGGATGGATGATATTTAACATTCCTTCCAAACCTGAATTTTTTTTTTCCTAATTGGGAAGCATTTCCTTCCCCCAGAACTCACACAATGAAAACAAGTTTGTAGGAAAGAGAAGGAGTTGAACACAAAGCAAGGTAAAAGCATACATACTCGGTTAACTATCACAGGTGTGTTTCTTTTACCACCACCACAACAACAAATCAGAAGAGGTTGTGGGGTGGTTTGGGAGCCATCTGAATGGGATTCATTCTCTGAACCGAATTAAGGCTCAAAGAACAACTAATCAACTCAGTCACCATCCAGATCATGAGGACAGCGGCTGATCAATTTAGAGAAATGATTGTTTAAACAAATAAACAAGCATTTTGATTCTACCACTAAACTGGCAGTTAATTTAGTATATTAGGGAATCGTACCCCACCCTCTTCTGCAAGAAACAGTCTCAGAATAGGAAAAACAGAAGTGAATACCAGCAGAATAGGCTAGTGTTGCCTACCCGTGCCTTGAAGGGATCCACCCCTATTTCGGAGAACTTAGCCACAAAAGAAAGCTACAGCATGTCTCCCTCCCTGGATTCACAGAACTGGGCTAGACATCTGAAATCTTGCAAAAAATACACCTACCTGCTCACTTGACCAAAATGAAGTATGGATCACCTCTCTCTGTATTAACCTCGGAGGCCATTTCTCAATCTCCTTCCTCTATGTAAATTTGAGTCCCTCTGTGGGCAAGGCCACCACCTCCCCTGATACTGGTGCTCATGGGCATTTCCCAAATGACTCTGCTGGGAAATTGCTGTTTATCATGCAAATTATACGAAGCCAAGGTAAATTCGCCTTAGAGGACTCTCTATTTTCCCTTGCTTTCTGTAAGGTTTCTACTTTGATGATGATATGACCTTGATAAGAAGCTTTACTTGAAAATGCATGATTATGTTATGGGTTTTATGTGTGTGTGTGGCACTGGGGATTGAACCCTGGGAAACTCTACCACGGAGCTATACCCACAGCCCTTTTATTGTTATTTTGAGACAGGTTCTCTCCCAGTTTGGCCTTGAACATGCCAGCCATCTGCCTCAGCCTTCGGAGTAGCTGGGATTACAAGTGTGTATTATTGTTCCCAGAATGATAATGTTATATTTTAGTGGAATAGATCAAATTAATATTTTGAGGAAAGTATTCAATTTGTTCCTGACTTCTGGAAGAAAAATCACTGTGTATTTCCTCACTGGGGTAGGTCTGGTAGGGAACTGAAACAATTATCTATAGTAGTAAATGTTTATTGTCAAAACCATCAATTAGGATTCTCAATAACTTGTGTCCTCCTGTGTTCTCATTGATTAAAAATAGTAACTGAGGCTAATCCTATTCTAGGAAATGTAAGTTTGTAAGAACTTCATGTAATTAATTCAAGTTTTTATTTACTCACAGTCTTTAACACATAAGAGAGACATTTGTTCAAAGTAAGACGTTAGTTCTCCAAAAAGTGTTACAGATGAAACTATGATAAACTAATCAACCAATGGAACCTGCCTCATTTGTTTTTTAGACCTGAAGTATTTATTTCTCTATCACATAGTACCCAGACTTCATGCAATCTTGTCCTTATTGATACCCATTTATGAAATATCCATACATGCCATACATAGAACTCTTCGCAAATCTTCACAGCCATCTGACATATTGCCCATTTGACAAATGAGAAGCCCAGCCTCTGATATGAAGTGACTTATTCATTTTCCCAGGCAGAAGAATTTGAGGCAGCTGGGATTGACTGAAAAACCACATGACAACAGAACTTGACTGTTGAGTAGCTTGTCTGTACTCACCTTCGACCTCAGCAGGCACTGAGCTCAATTACAGGAATGAGCAAATACGTGAACCAATGCGTAACTTCAAATCAATGCATGAATCCCACCGTCGGGAACATCCACAAGAATGGAGTCCTAACTAGAATGAGAT